CACCAAGACCTCACACCTCGTTAAAAACAATAAATCCAGAGTCCTTTATGTGTAAAGATAGGATTGTTCTTCCCATGTGTTTTCTTTTACATTTGGCTACACAGAATTTCAGCTGCCTGTTTATGCTCCATTCAGTCTCATGACATCCTTCTTTGATATAGCCCTTATCTTTAGAACTCTGCGTAAGGTTAGCAGTATCAGCAAACTTTTCTCCTCACTATTCACTTCCTTTGTCCTAACAGTTATAAACATGTTCAACAACACATGCCCTGTCTGACTCCACCGGTCGCTTGATTCTAAATTGAAATCCCCAAATCTACCATTTATTCTTCTCCTCTACTAACTAGTTTAATTGCTTACAGATCCAGAGTACACATTGTGAAAAAGTAAAAGTGCTACACTCTTATCCCTTATGCTATAAAATTTACAAGTGCCCCACTGATTTACATATTCGTTTTTGCTTCTTACTACAAATTATATTAAAGCAAAGAAAGGCCCAGATCTAGTCACTAGGTAAGATGGTGGTTGTGTTAGTAGTAATTCAGGTTAAAAAACATGGCAAATTTCATAATTCCAGCTCGGGCAGTTGAAGTAAATGTTGTCACTTTATGTTGTCCTCTAGAAAACATTCACTGTTACTAAAGGATTCTTAATGCCTGAGCTGGCAGAATTGCTGCAGTCACTGAAATGAACAACATGCATTTTTCCGTATAAAAATAACCTGGCTTTTTTTTTTTTTTCAAAATTAAATGCCAGAGTTGCATACAAATACCTAAGTAAAACCATCAGATTTCATCTCATGTGCCTCCCACTATAAAGCAGAAAACTCATCTCCATAAAATTGCAGAGGCCTGCTCAAGAAAGCAGAACAATCATGTAAATATATTTTAAAGCACAATTTGACAAATGGTTCAGCCACTGAGAAGAATGACTGTCCATGACACTTAGTGACACTTCTGTCACTAATATCTTGTGTGCTTACCTTCACACAGACTAGCACTTGCCTGGCATGAACTTACACTCTTGTCTAGGACTAAGACTTCTAGAAAAGATAACCTCGGAAGAAAAAATATCAAAAACAAAGCCAAAGCCCAACTCACAACAAAACAGGCACAGAAGCATAAAAAAAAAAAAAAAAGTCCTCTGTCTAAAAGCTCCTGTGGTAACCAGTTATGTACTTTGCTTTGTCATTGTACTGACTAAATTAGTAAAACTTAGTATTCACACCCAAAATCTTGCCTAGTGTCCTCAGACCATTACAGCTACAACAATACTGGGAAGACAAACTGCCCATCATAGTTTTTAGCCCAATGCAGCAAGGTGTCACAAGGCAGTTTCGCTTTCCTCAGAAGCAGGACCTGACAAGTCTGTAGCAAGTTCAAAGAACAAAAAATTGCATTGCTAGATGCTGAGTAAGAGCTGACCATTTTAAACTCTTTATTAAACCAAGATCAGCTTGAACGACCATATTGGCACATACAGTCTCCAATAAGCAGGGGAAAATATGCAAAATCTGTGTCAAACTGTGCTGAACTCTGGTGAGACTTGCTTTAACTAAGAAGGCTTTTTAGAGCATTAGTTTACTGTCCAGTCAGAGTATATCTGTACAGATTTGCCTGATTAACTGGCACCAAGAGTCTAGCACAGCACCCAGTTCTATTAAGAAAACTTCCAAAATGGAAGGATGTGATCTTTTCTTCTCATAGGACATCAAAATACAGCCTCCATCAGCAACAGCACTTGTCAGCAGTCTGCACCTGACCTCCTCCTGTTCACCCCTCCCAGACAACCCTCATCAGCACATTATCATTCCAGCAAGAACCCACACTTCCCACATGGTCTTCTAACACCAGTGACCTGGCTTTGCAGAACGGAGGTTGGGCTCTCAACAAGCACAACTTAATGAAAACCAAAATTACCAGAGGCTGACGTCTCTCCTGAATTCCACATACCACCTGAGAAATCCTGATAACAATCACTGTCCGAGCACTTCCCAAGAGGATTTTTCTCCCTACTCTTCTCACACTAGCAGAGACAAACTGGAACTTTCCATGTAATTGCTTTAGTTGGCAAGGGAGTACTCTGAATCACAAAATCACAGAATGTTCTGAGTTGGAAGGGACCCACAAGGATCATCAAGTCCATCTCCTAAGTGAATGGCCCATGACCTTGTTGTTATCCTCACCATGCTCTAAGCTCTACTCAATCAGTGAGACACCAGAGAAATGCACCCCTTCTTCCATACTCTCTGTGCTCCAGTGTGCCTGTAGCACATCAAAGATTTTCATAGCAACACATTCTGCAGGCATTAACATGGTGTGGACATCAGCATCTCACATGCACAGCGACTACAGCACAGAGTCCTGGCTTCTCACCTCCAACCTGTGTTCCCTCACACAGAGCAGTACTTCAGTCAGGGTGGCCAGGCTCAGAACAGTTATTACCAAGCACTGCAATCTGCATCAAAACATAGTCTTCATTTCATCTCTATGTCCCTTAACTTCACTGTAAATCTAGAAGTGGCAGAACTTTTCCTACGTGTCTGAAAAAAAAAACTGAGGTCTACAGGCTCAAAAAACCACTATGCAGCACAAGTGAGAATGACTGATGTGACACAAGCCAAAACAAACAGCACAAGGCCCTCACCTAGGAGAAACCTAATTGATTTTACAGTGACTTAGTAATTCGAAGACCAGCACAGATTTATTCTCCTCCTGTCACTTATTTCCCATGAGTCCTTGGACAAATAACCTTTCTACCTGCCACACTGGTGAAATGGATGGTATTTACAAGCCCAAGTACTCAGGTTGCTCCAGCATAGAAAGGCAAGTTTCTGGTGGTGTTCCATAATGATGGCAGCATTCAGAAACTGTGAAACCAAAGAGCATGATACTACAATGTATTGGGTATTTTCCCCATAGCAAGGTGTTGATAACACACTGGTGTTTTGTCTATCACTGAGCAGTGATGGAAGAGCACTAGCCTGTTTTTCCAGCATTCCTTCCCCAAAGGCCAGGGGGCTTGGAGTGGGCAAGATTCTGGGGGGGGGGGAGGGCATAATGAAACTGACCAAAGGGATATTCCCTACTATATGATATCTGCTCCAGCAAGAAAAGCTAAAAGGAAGAATGGGTGGGGACATTCTTTATTACAAGCTTTGTCTTCTGGAGCTACCACTTACACATACTCATGCCTTACCTTCCACAAAGTGGCAGGACTTCACCTGCTGATGGGACATGGCAAATAAATCTTCTATCCCTTGCTTCCACATATGGACATTGCTTTTGCTTAGTTAAATTGTGTTTACCTTGACCCATAAGATTTTCTGTCTCATTTTCTTCCCCAATATATTGCTGACGATAGGAGTGATAAAGTGGCTGGTTGGGCACCTGGTGTCCAGTCAAGGTCAATCCACCACACACAGAAATGTCTAAAATGCACTGAGAAAGGGATCCCAGATAACACCAAACCAATGTTCCTTATTCTCTTCTTCCAGGGAGAAAGCACAACCCCACAACTACACTACAGGGAATTAGATGGGGGTGGGAGGGGAAGGTAACATAAATGCAGCTGTAAGTTGGCACAGAAGCTATCAAAATACAGAGGGCACTGAAAGCTAGACAACTATGTGGTCCTTATCAGCTGGGAAGTTCACTTACACCTCTCCTAAAATGTGACAAGAGTTGGTCCCTGATCTGTAGGTCTTGCAGAAAATACAGCCTGCAAACAAACTGGCTGGTGTTGCCCATTCTGGCTGTGCCTGCTTCCCTCCATCCACCAGGATCAATGCACTCTTCAAGTGAACTGAGCCAGAGCCTTCCCCATAGGCACCATATTCCCCACGGGGCTTTCTGCTCCAAAACAGAAAGCTCTCCCATGAACCTCTCTTGAGGTGCTGCAAAAAAACTGCCTTTATCCCCACCTCTGAAAAATGCATTTCATTTAAGACTGGTCTTAAGACTGTTGCTGGTTTTATTCTCATGTTTCTTCTCTTCACACACACAGTCATGTTTTGCTCATCCCTGACAACTGCTTTAGGACCAGAAATTTTTCCCAGTTTTTACCGAAAGAGGTGTCTGTCTATAACAATGAGTGAAAGCTGTTTTCTGGGACCACGGGAAGTTCACAGTATGAACAGTAGCATTTGGAAATGAAGTTCATCACTAAACAAATAAATCAAGTGGAATATAATTGGAAAGTGACAGGCAGGGAAAACAGGTTGGGTTAATGATGTTATGTCCTTACCAGGTCTTCACAAATAGGTGAGATTATCTATTCTCACTCACGTATGCCTTTGCTTGGAGAGTCAGGCATTATCGCAGCACGTAATTCCACCAAAAGCCCCACTGTCCAAAAGCACACGTTTCTCTTAAGCACTCAGACTTTTCTGTAGGAGACATGTGTTTTCCCCTGCAGTTTCGTGATGTTGTTTCCCACAAGGAGACAAAAAGCAGTATGACTGACCCTGCAGTGTAGCACGAATACACAGCTGGGTGTTACTGGCTTAGGGATTGTATTGCAAACAAAGGCTACAAACAGTGCCCTTCTACACAAATTGAACACGAAGGCAGCAGTTGGCGCCCTACTGAATTCCCAACAGCTCATGTCCCCCTTCATTTCCTGCAAGAGTGACTCAGATTGAAGCTGTTGAGTAACAAACCTACCCTACTCACCCACTTCATGGCCTTAACTGAGTAGGTGAAGAAAAACAGACAGAAGAGTGTGGACACAAAAATACACACCAGAGGAGCAATGCCATAAACCAAGGCAGCAGCAAAAAGTATCATGAGTAGATAAACCAGGAGGACTGCCAGTGAAGTACATCCTGATTTCTTTCAGTTGCTCTGACAGTTGTGCTTCATAAAACCCTATGAAACCAAATCCTGCAGTCCCGGTTCAGCTTTTGTGGAAGTAAGCTTGCCATTGACGTCAAAGACCACGTTACCTCATAAAGGACTGCAGGGCTACTTGCAGAGACATCACTCATTATTCACTGTGACTGCACGCTCTGTGTAGGAGTAACACATCTTCTTTCTCCCCTCACGCTCTCCTGTGGAAATTAAGAACAGTCTCCGGTGATGTAAGCCCATCTGCAAAATCAGTCCAGAGGTCAGACTGCTGCCCAATGCTACACTAGATTATACAGACACATACAAATAAACACTGCCTACTCTGTGATGTAGGAATAATACATTTAATTTCCAGTTACTGTGACAATTTCTCTTCTATATGCAATAAGGTTTCCTGTAGATTCAGTGAACTATCCTAAAGTGGGCAGCAGGCTCTGTTCACATTAATAGTCTGGTTGGCATGGGACAACTAGAGTGGCTTCAGGTTGCAGGTTTCTGTCTTTTTCCCTCTGCCAGCCGATGAAGCAGGCTCAATGTGTTGTGTACATGCTCTCCAGCTGCCACAGTTTACAGAAAACATTAAGAAAGAAGTACCCACAGGGTGTCTGCAGGAGGTATGCCTTCCATGCAGCATCCTTCTGCTGGGGTGAGAACGGCTGCCAGAGAAGGGAGGCGGAAAGCAAGAGGAGAAATAACCTTGGACCAGATGAAAACATGACAGTCAGTGCAAAAGAATTATTGCATGCCAGACTCAGTGAATTATTTGTCAGCAGAGTTACTGCAGGAAGACACATGTGCAAGAAATTTCAAGCACTAGATCAAGGGTTTGATCAAATAAACATAGACCCTATTAAGATGGTCTTCTGTATTCAGTTCAATATGCCAGCAGGGTTAACACAATATTCAAGAATAAACTAGAATGCATGGCAAAAATTAAGATGGGACCAGAGTTAGGTATAAGCAAAACTAGATTATAGTTTTCCCATAATATTTGGTCAGACCTTTATATAGTAATCTGTCTCTTAGCAAGCAAATGGATTTAAAATGCCAATAAGTTTAATTAAAGCAAGAATGTCAGAATCTAGCTTAAAATTGCCCTCATTAGAGATAAGAACCTGGGTTAATACTACAGCATTCTTGTCACACACCATTCAGCAGAAGTTACTAAAATAAACAGTGGAAGATTCACTGGATCTTTCATTTAGATTTACCACTTATAACTTGCTCTTACTGCCGACTTTCTGGCTAGAATTTGCACTCCAATGATAGTTGGAGTCAACCTAGTGTATCCAGAGTTGTTAGGTGTTACATCTTGGTTTGGCAAATCAGGTCATAAATTCTGTGCCATTCTTCATTGTACACACAGCACCCTAGTGGGTCATTGAGTCCAGTGCTGAAATCCAAGATCTTAATCAACTACCATGCCTCTACATGCTTTGGCATTTCTGGGGAAGGTAGAGGCCAGATGAAAATGTTCTGCAGACTACTCCCTTTCTGCACTTAATATTACTCAACTAATCAGCACTATGCCACAGTGACATACAAATCCATATAGAGTGACAAGATGTAGCTACTACAATCATAAAACTGGACTGAAGTACATATCACTGTAACTATTAATCATTATCCAATCACAAAAGTAAAAAGTAAAAAGTAAAAGCAAAGCTGACTGCTCCTTCCTCATTTCAAAAGAGCCCTTCTGTAACTTCAGCAACTGAACCTTCTGCTGGGAAGGCAGGGTCCAAGATTTGAAGCTCTGCTGGAATCTGTATGAGGAAAGCATCCCTTCACACAGCAGCGTATTTTAGCTCTGTCCTGCAAACTCTCTGAAAGGTGGCTCCACTGGCTATTTCACAACTGGCCCTGGTTGCCAGCTATATTCTCAGTTATGTTGCTGATCACATGCCCACTGATATCCTTTCCTTCTGCTTCAAGAGAACTAAAACTTGACAAGTTACAAGTTTCACTGGATTATTTTAATGATTTTCCTTGATGGCCCTCAAAATTCATTATCTTTGAATAACCTTTGCCAGCGACTGGAAATAATTGGTCTAACTCTTTTATCTTCACAGCAGCCTTTTATGTATGAGTAAACACTGTTGTCTTGTCTTTTCTCTGACTGAGCACATCTGACTGCCTGAGTTGTTCTCTTACCTCACAAACCCCTCTCATTTTCACAGCTCCTCTCTGTGCTGCTCTCTGCAAAGAACAGGGACCTGAGAGATACACAGGGGGTTTCCCTGTGGCAGGTTTGCTTGTTTCACTCTTTGCTGTCCTCTCAGTGTACTCTGATTTTCCCATCACCTTCTGGGCAGTGATTGTTGTGGCTTTGCCTCCACTTCTCTTCTGCAGATGTACGCCGGCACAGATCCTTACTACTGCCTACATTTCCTACCAGCTCTTCAGCTGCTCTCTCCCTGTTTCCTGGGCCTCATCTGGACAATTCTGATATCTACCCTTCCCTCCCTGCGAGACCACATCTGCTGTTGCATACAGAGTAAGGAACCATCAAATGTGGGGCAGAAAGGGAAGGAAGGGTGGAGGCGGGGGGGGGGGGTAGGTGCAGATTTCCACATTTTTCTAATAGTCTCCAAATTGAAAAAGAAACAAAAACAAAAACAAACACTGTCTGTAGCTGAGACTCCAGGACAGCCATCAAAGTGCTCTGCCATTACTAACCCTGCAGCACCACATCCAGACCCATTGTTGTCTCTGACCAGCTCTTGAGTTTCCTGGGCTTTATGAGCCTGGAAAAACAGACTTATCAATAGCTTATTCTGAATATAAATGAGTGGACAGGCACAGAGCCCAGGTACCTTATCTTTCCACCTGTATAAAAGCCAGTCTTCCAGCATCTTTTGTTTGCCACTAAATACTAAAAAACAAGGCACATCTCACTCTTAGTGGCAACATTTCTTAGCCAAACTGCTTGCTTTCCCCTGCTTCATCTCCCCTCTCTACATGTAACTCCCCTCGGTACAGTTTTTTCCTCTTTTTATCACATCCTTTTTTCACTTCTTATTTCAGGTGCTAATCCCACATGGATTCCTCCCTGAAAACAAAATCTGAGATGGAAAAGGTCATAGTACATCACTCATGCAGATGCTTGACCCTGGCCAGTGCCCAGCATTGTAGCTCCAAGGTGATATGCTGAACACTCCCCAAATGGTGACCCAAGTGACACAGACACACAGTCCAGGCAAAAAGGACCGAGTGGATCACTGAAAAAAATCCTGGAAGTATTCCTGAATGTTTGCACTGACCTCCAGAATAAACAGCCATCTCCCTGCAAGTTAAGCATTTTCATCAGTCAGAGGGTGTAGCTCAGTAACTGCTGTGACAGTGCCTGTGTGAACAAGTAAAGTGAATAAAAAAAGAAGTGAGCTTCACAGGGCCACTGTGAAGTATATAGCCTTCTACTGAGAGGGAAGCAAAACTGAAAATATTCTTGGGGAATGCCTGCTCTGCTCCATAGAGTTCTTTGTCCATCCCAGCTTTTGAGGGCTTTTGAGGAGAGGCAGTTCTGGAGGTGAGATACCACCACTCTGTACATCATCACTGCTGCAGCAGAAGTCTCTTGCAACACAGAGGGAGCAAGTCTGAGGTTTTGACATTTGTGTGACTGTGGGATTTCATCTTAAAGAAATAATAACAGATCTGTAGAGCCTGTCAATGCTAAGTACTTACAAATGGGCAGAGCATGAGACAAACAACAGAGAAAAGATGCTCTCTCTTTTACAAACTCCATCTCCACTGCTGGAGTTCACTGGAGAAGAACAGGCACATAGAACAAGAGCTATTTAATAAACCACCACAGAGATTGCCCCACCAGGGAACAGAGCAAGGGAAGATACACACACAACAGATATTAACCCTGTTCTTTCCTCATGGCAAATACCTGATGCTGTGGTAACCGATACACCAACAGGGCAAAAGCAGACATCCTGCTATGGAAATCAATACAAGTTTCAAGAACTGCATCCAAGCAAAACCATCAGCAGCCCAAAGCCACACTAAAACCTTGTCGAAAGCTAAAAAGAAAATATATAACTAGCCTCTATTTGCCCTGTGAAGCTCATGTGCTTTCCTGCAGGAAAACTACGCACGTTCCTCACCCACACGCACATTCTGCATCTTGAGCTGTCTCTGAAACTGCTGGTCTGCATTAGTACACTGGGAACAAGACACCAACTAATGGGTGACTACCATCCAAGCTCATGGGTAGTTTTGTTGGCTCAGTTATTGTGCCACCTTCATCAGTGCTGCAGACCACTGGTGGCTATTGTCTTCGTGCGCTGTTAATGCCATGACTTCTTTCCTTTTTTGCCCTTCCTTCTTCCCCAAAATTACTCTGATGGACACACATCACCCCTGCATGCTCTGCAGCACTGACCCACGAGGCAGCTAAGTACTTGCCAGGTGCAAAATACCAACAAGGGAAGCTGTTGACTTCTCCACAGCCTCAACAAAACTGGGAGCACACAGACTTCATCCTAGCAGCAGTGTCTGTTGTGATCCACAAGCACTTCACTCATAGAAAACCCAGACTTGGTTGTACTTACACTGGAGCTCTGCTCAGCCCTCCTGGAGATAAGGGGAGCAAAGACCACTGCAAGCTCCTTCCTCTTCCAGCTGCCGAAGCTGTGAGGACTTTCTGCCAGCACAAAGGGGCATATCCAAAAGGCTGCTCTGAATTCTGCAACAAAGATTCCACGTGTGAAGCCCCAGGTTAGCTCACTTGTTGAGCACACACCTCTCTAGAGTAAGATATGCTTCAGCATTTAAGGAGTCCCACCTTCAGTCCCCATAGTGTTGCTTTCACCAAATGTCATTCAGGGACATGGTCTGGTTCAGGTTCTCCTCATGTGAAAGGGCTCTGTCTTTTGCATTCTGCCTGTGCATGCACCATGAAAGCACATTCATACTTCATGTACCTATGCCAAATGCCACCAAAGCAAATTAAAACAATAAATATGGTATGATGAAAGGGCTAATTTCGAGACTTCTATTAGGATGCATGACGTTAATCTTGAGTCCTCTTTTTTTGAAACATTTTTTCCTCTCTGCTGCTTCAAGTGCACAATGTCCCTGACAAAAACCACAGGAGAAATTATTTGACTTCTGCAGACTGCATTGCTAATGAGAAAATTGTTTGGTTTTATTGCGACTTGATGTATATAAATATTCACAGCAGGAGAGCAGGACAAAACACTCGGAAAAAAAGTCTCATTTTCAAAGTGTCCTGGGACACAGCAGGGAGCAACAAACAAATTAATTCATAAAAAATCTGACATTTGGAAAATATTTTTACAAGAAGGCATCTCTCACACCAATGCCATTGTGACAAAGAAAAAAATACTTTAAAAAACAGAATCCAAACTATGCAGGTACTCCCATTTTAATTCCGATGGAGGTAGGGCACAGAAAGAAATAAAAGCACGTGTGAAGGATGGTTCCTGTAGTCAGAATGTTGCATTTAAGAAAAGAGGAAAGGGAAGGTAAAGAAGGAGAAATGTTTCAAGCATTCCCTACTGAAATAAGTATGTTCAGAGGCCTGGCAGACGGACTCATGGAAACTGAATCAGGTTTAGAAGTTTTCATGAAAAAACACAGTTCCTCTTTGAAGAACTGACAAAACATACCCTAGAACCAAAGCACAGTGCAATGGACCATGGCATGTATTGGAGTAGAGAAATAAGCCAGAGATATGTACAGGGTTTTTTGTGTGTAACAGCAAAGATAAGACTGAATACACTCACATCATCAGAGTTTTAACAAATGAAATCTATGAGAATTAACCCTTGTCTATTTCAATACACTCTAAATCTGAGCAGTAGTTCCTGCATTAGATTTTTTTAGTATTTTGGTAACTTTTAGAAAGTGGGAATTACACTATGCACAAATTAGCAGCTTGCCCCTGAGATCTGGATGCACAAGCAGTACGGCTGTGTTCACAGAGCACTCTGCATGACTGCAGTCCCTAAAAGCTTCAGAGGGATTTTGATACCCTCTCACTGGATGTAGCAAAGTGGTGGATTTGGCAAATGGAGTGTGCACGAAGTTTAGCAAGTCTAAAAATGTTTAGCAATGCACTTGAACAAAAATAGCTCAAACTTTTACGTAAGTTGATGTTCTGCAAGTGAACTTTTATGTGCCATCAAGGGAAAGCCCTGTGAGTCACTACACATAGCTCAACAACGTCAAATGCCCTGAAGCAGGTGAAGCAGCAGTGTGCACATGTGCTGCAAAGCATGCCATCAAAATGATCTTAGGCCACTGCATATCTTCTCCTACGTGTAACAAAGAAGAGTATGGGGCCAATGCTCAGAGGCAGTTGCCCATACAGCCTCTCTCTTCATAGACCTACATGGAGCTTTTCCAGGAGAAGCAGGAGCAGTAACTAGTGGCTATTTGTCCCAGCTTAGCTTTTCAGCTCTTCATGTGGAGAGACAATGCACTGAAAATTGCAGTAAGCTGCAGGCTCCTACATCACTCTGCTCCAAATCTTGTTGCTTTCAGGTTGCCTTCAAAAACAGGGCAGGAAATGAAGGAGGAAGGGATTGCATTTTTTCCCTCTTTTCTGAAAGCCTACATATGATGGGAAAGGGCTGAGGTTGTGAAAATGCAGTGAATCTTGGGAACCTTATTCTAACACCTAACAATTGCTCAGGTACAGACTTTTTCTGCCCTTCAGTGCGCTGTTGCCCAAGGTTGTGTTACGTGGCAGATGAAATGAATGTGTAGGGAGGAATGAGGGGTCATATATATTGGAAAAATGGCTATTCATGCCTGATGACAGCTTTTCAAATGCAAAACCATAAGATGGGACTACTTATAGCACAGGGAGTCATGGGAGAGACACTCTTTAGCAAGAGCACAGCACAGACACATTTCTTTCTTTCCCTATCCTGTGCCAGGCACAATACACCATTTGTTTTATTTCCTGCAACATGGAGCTTCCCCAAGCAGACCAAAGACTGAAATATGATAAATGAGGTGAGCCAGAAGAAAAAGGATGACACAGCAGTCAAACACCTAAGTCTTGTGCAGACCATGATGCATATGTTCCAGAAACACCAATCCACAACTTGTCCCTGCAGCTGTGCCTTTCACACAGAATCACAGAATCAATTAGGTTGAAAAGACCTCTGAGATCGTTCAGTCCAACCTATGACTGAACACCACCATGTCAGCTGGGACTAAGCATGACCATGGCACTAAGTGCCACGCCCAGTCTTTCCTTAAACATCTCCAGGGATGACTTCACCACCTTCCTGAGTAGTCCATTCCGATGTCTAATCACCCTTACTGTGAAGAAATTCCTCCTAATGTCCAACCTAAACGTCCCCTGGCACAGCTTAAGACTATGTCCTCTCATCCTTTCACTTTAATACTCAGTTTAGCAATGTGACACTCAGTTTAACCTGTGCAATTTCTTGTCACTGTCCCTTTTGACTCCTGAAATGCTTTTAATACTGCCTCTCCATGTATTGGTTTTAAACTAAAAAAGTTTTGCTGCTCCTCTGTAATTTGCAATGCACAAGCATCCCTCCAATCAGTCTTCCTTGCTCACCCCCCTCTTACTGAGCGGTGAATCTAAAGACACACCCTGCACAATCCCTATTACCTCCAATTCAAATCTAGAAACTATTTCAGGAACCTCATTATTTCTGCCTCTTTGCCTGAGCTATTAGTGACATTTGCAGCCACAGATACCTCAGTAATTACAGGGGGTTTAAACTTCCTGCACTTAAAACCACATTTCAAGCTCTGCATAAGAGGCAAGATCTTGTGCCCTCCCTCACAGTTTCCACAGCGTGCTATGACAGACACCATGTGAAGGTTCGTAGGTGATGGGCCATCCCAGAGGCCTGAGGATGACCACTGTCAGGAGAAAACCTCTTTCACCTACATCAGGCCCACAGCAGATTAGGGACTTTCCGTTTCTTGAAATACCAAACTATAACCGAAAAGTGCAGCAATGTGTCAACCTCTCAGAAAACAAGGATAAACAGGCAACTCGGCAGGAACGGCACTATTCGAACGACCTTTCACAGATACTTGCCAGTCTGTTCTTGGACACTCTCAATAATGTTTTTTTTATACCTTGTCAAGTTACATGTTTACCAGTGAAGCATCCAGACAGATAAAAAGTTTTACTTCAAACCTGTGACTACTAATCTTTCCAGAAGATATGACAAGAGGTTATTCGTTTCTTCATTACAGTAGTTTTTGCCACTTACAGTACAAGTCCCAGTGCTCCTTTGAGCCATTTCTCCAGATGAAGATTTCAGCAGACTAGTATCAACACATTTTATTTCAGTCTACAAGCCATGCCAAGGACAAGGTCAG